CAGGAACATGACTGGGAATTCAAAATGCATGGAATAGTTTTCTTAGAATCTCTTTTCCCTATATATACAATGTGTTTTCAAGTCTCAGTTCATTTAATCTTCATGTCAACCCCCAGAGGTTTCACAATATCAACCTCACCCCCTGGTGCAGCGTCAGCCCGCGGACCTGAAGCCCATCTGTCAGGTCCTTGTTTTCTTTCATTCCCTCCTCTCTCCATTCTCTGCGGTCACTGCCTATATTCTGAGTTCATTATCCAAATTCAGCCACTTACTAGTGTGTGACTTTGTGCAAGTTTACTTAATCTCCTGTGTCTCAGTTTCTGTAGCACGCGGATTCCATAGTCAACATTCAAAAGAATGTATTGGGCACCTACAATACTTTAGGCCCTGGGGATATGGCAGTGAAGCAAATAAAGAAAAATCTCTGTCCTCGTGGAGCTGACATTCTAGTGGGGTGAGGGGAGGGGAGGGAAGGGGAGAGGAGAAGAGGAAGATAATAAACCAGAAAGTAAAATACAATGTATAAAATGTTTCAGATGGTGACATGTGGTATAAACAATAAACAGGGAAGGGGATACAAGGTGTCTGGGTAGGGGAGGAAGGTAAGGTTTTGTTTTGCTTTTGAGACAGGCTCTCGCTCTGTTGGCCAGGCTGGAGTGCCGCAGCAGGATCATAGATCACTGCAGCTTCAACCTCCTGGGCTTAAGGGATCCTCCTGCCTCAGCCTCTAGAGTCACCGGGACTACATGCTCGCACCACCACGCCTGACTAATTTTTAAATTTTTTATAGAGATGGAGGTATCCTTATGCTACTCAGGCTGGTCTCAAACTCCTGGCCTCAAGCAATCCTCCCACCTCGGCCTCCCAAAGTGCTGGCATTACAGGTGTGAGCCACTGCGCCCAGCCAAGTTGTTATTTTTAATGGGTGGTTAAGGAGGATCCCACTAGTAAGATGACATTTGAACAGAAATTTGAAGGAGAAAATGACATGGATATCCGGAAAGATAGCATTCTAGGTAGAGGGAACAGCAAGTGCAAGAATTCTCAGGCTAATGGGAAAGCTGGCAAGGGGGTCAGTGTGGCTGGGGTAGAGTTGCGGGGAAGCATGTGGGAAGATAAGGGGCTGGGGAGACAGGGACTGGATCATGTTGGGATCTCTCTGCTATTCTCAGGACTTTGACTCTAGAGAGCTGGGAACAGGTTTGAGCAGAGGAGGAACCTGATCTAGCTTTTTATGTTAAGGCCACACTAGCTGCTGCATGAAGAATAGGTTGAAGGGGCAGAGGCAAGGAGCCCATCAGTAATGCAGCCGCTGCAGTAATCCAGGTAGGAAATGGTAGGGGCTTGGCCCACCTAGCAGCAGTCTGGAGGAGAGGGGTGAGCAGACCGGAGGGTATGTACTGAAGTTAGAACTGATGAGATCTGCAGATAGATCAGATGTGGGAAGTAAGAAGTGGAGGGTGGACAGGGATGACTCCAATGTTTTTAGCCTGAGCAACTGGAAGAGTGAAACTGCTATTGACTGAGATGGGGAAGACCGAGAGAAGCAGGTTTGGGGAGATCGTTTTTGGACTTGCGAAGGTTAAGATTCGATTGGACATTCAGTAGAGAAGCCAACTGACTATTGCACATATAGGTCTGGAGTTCAGAAGGGAGGTTCAGGCTGGAGATAGAAATGTTGGAGACTTTAGTGTATTGATGACATTTCTAGAAGGAGTTCATGAGAAAATCGACTTCATCTGGGTGTTGTGGGAATTAGACAAGTTAAGCACCTGGCACATAGTAGGCATTCAATAAAGGTCAGCTATCACCAAGATCACTTTATGTTCCTTGCACTCCCCCACCAGCCTCTCACCACGGCCACCTCCATGCTGCCCTCCACACTGCTGGTCAGGGTGAGCTTTCTATAGCATAGACCTGATCATCCCTCCCTGCCCAAATCTGCAATGGCTCCTTATTGCTTACAGAATAAAGTGTGCATACTTCATAGACTTCACAGACTGTCCCTAAAGCCTTCCCTGATGGAGTCACTGTCACCCACACTAGCCCCAATTTCTGCCACCACCCCCCACCTCCCACCTCATTCTCCAGCAGTAATAGGGAACCCTTTGTTCACAGCTTGTCGTCTTTGAACATGTGGCCACCTATGCCTTGACTTGTCCAGCAGCAAACCCAAGTGATTCTCACATCCTCTAAGAAGCCTCCCTCTCCACCCAGAGGCTGTTCCCTCTTCCCTGCAGACCTGCCTCCTACCGTTACTAGTGTTCCTTCCACTCCTGTTCCTGCAGCACCAAACACTGAGCCTGACACAGGCAAGGGGCTGGGGGAGGGTAAATGAACAAAGGAGGAAGAGCTGATTTTCCATGATGGGTTTTTTATTTTTAGCATGTTTGAGTTCATGAAGACCCAGAGAGGCGCAGGCACTTGCTCAGGTCACTCAGCTGGTGAACTCTGTGGCCAGGAGTGGACTCCAGGCTTGTCTGATTCAAAGCTCTTGGCTCAAGCGCATGTGCATGCACAGGCACGCACACAGGAAAACACACACACCCACGCACGCACACACACAGAACAATCTCAGGGCAACTGGTGGCTGGGGGTTCTCTTGACCTTCCAGTTGTTCCCTTCTTGGGAATGGATCCAGGGAGAGGGTTAAGGATTTAGATTCAGAATAGGCATTCACTTGTTCGTTTAAAAAAAAAATTGTAAAGACCCAGTCTCCCTATGTTGCCCAGGCTGGTCTCAACCTCCTGGGCTCAAGTGATCCTCCTGCCTCAGCCTCCCAAAATGCTGGGATTACACACATGAGCCACTGCACCTGGCCAGTAGTCACTTGTTTATTCAGTAAGTCATTCGCTCATTCGTTCTCTCACTCACTCATTTACAATCAATCATTTGTTCTACTTCCAATTTTTACTCACAGCAGATTAAAACCCTACCTCCTAAGAGCTGAATCTGAGGAGAGCCTGGTCAGGAAACAAGGCAGCACAGGGCCAGGAAAGGAACACTAAGGGCTAGTGGAGGACCTTGAAGGGTGAGAGGAGTTTACCAGATGACCTTGGAAAAGGATATCCTGACATGTGGCTGCAGCATGTGCAAAGATCCAGAGACTTGAAACCACCACTGAAAGGAGGGCACCTGGGGAGGTGGGAGGAGTGGCAGATGATCACTGCGGGCAGAAGGTTGGAGACATGGGCAGGGGTCAAGGTCAAGATTAATTTGGGAGTTAGGTATGGAGGAGCAGGGTTAAGGTTTAGGTTGGGTTTAGGATTAGAGATTAGATCTTGAAATCAGATCATTTCTTTTTAACCTGCCTTTTCCAGAAGGATTTCATGTGGCTTGTATCAGTGATAAAGATCTAGGGTTATGATTAGGCCTGCCAAGAACCTAAGGATCAGGAATGGGCTTTATGGTTGGGATCCAAGGTGCAGTAAAAATGAGGTACTTGAGGGAGCAAAGCCAATGCTCGACGTGGGCATAGGTTTTCATTTTCTTTCTTTTTTCTTTTCATTTTTGAGACAGGGTCTCACTCCGTCACCCAGGCTGGAATGCAGTGACACAATCTCGGCTCACTGCAACCTCCGCCTCCTGGGTTCAGGCAATTCACCTGCCTCAGCCTTCTGAGTAGCTGGGACTACCTGCGCACACCACCACCAGGGTAATGTTTTTGTTTGTTTGTTTTGAGATGGAGTTTTGCCCTTGTTACCCAGGCTGGAGTGCAATGGTGCAATCTCAGCTCACTGCAACCTCCGCCTCTCGGGTTCAAGCGATTCTCCTGCCTCAGCCTCCCGAGTAGCTGGGATTATAGGTGCCTGCCACCACGCCCAGCTAATTTTTTTGTATTTTTAGTACAGATGGGGGTTTCACCATGTTGGCCAGGCTCATCTTG